GTCCATTTAAATTACTTGTCGCTGTTCGACTTGGTGGAAACCAAAAAACACCAGGAAAAAGTTCTATTTTAAATCGGCTAATGGCGACGGAACATATATTTTCTTCGGCCAGTGAACCAGGTGCATCACGAGGAACACCGCATGCACTTTCTGGAAGTGTTGAATTAACGTGGCTTATTAAAGAAACTTGCAGTGTTGGTCTATGGAAATCAGTCATGCAACCCTACTATAAAAATGCTACTAATGAAATTGTATTATTAGCAAATCTGCATGGAAATGCCATAGAATACTTTGAACAAGTTGAATGGTTACAACAATTTACATCATGTTTCTTGGTCTTCATAATGCCAAACTGTGAACAAGAAGAATGGAATCAATTTACTAAGATTGTATGCCCGGAAAAGCTCATCTACGCAATGGTAGATTCTAAAAATGGTGAAACAGATGATCTTATCATTGAAACTCAAAATTTAATGAAAGATGAAGAATTACAAAAGATATGCCTGATGATTAAAGAAGCTCTTGAATATGATTCGGTGAAAGTCAATTTCGAAAACGTCACGATGGGAAAGACATTGAAATTAGCTGAAGGAATTGATTGTGTAGAGTCGCAAGAAGTAATAGATTTTGTAAAGAAAGAAACATGCCTTGGCACCAAACAAATGATGCAGCTTCAAAAACGCTTGATAAATCATAATGACTCTAAGGAGGATGGCTTTGAGTTATGGAATAAAAATTCTCAATTACAAGAATTGATAAAGCGCTTCGGAAAAGTTTTACACTTAGAGCTTGAAATAAGAAAAAAGGCAATGGCTCATTTGGAGAGAGATCTTTATCATATCTCATCAGAAGAGTCCTCTCAAGCTCGAAAAGAAGTTATGTCATTAAAAGATCAATTATGGCGAATTTCTAGAATGACGACGAAAAACTCGGCTCATTTACAACACATTAAGGGGGAAATTATAAAAAAGCTGGAAAAAGTTGATAGTATGAGTTTGGGATTAGAACAT